ACAATGAAAATAATTGAAAAAAAACAAATCGATACAATTAAGAATGTGTACTATTGGGAATTTTTTCTTTTATAGAAGAATTTAAGTTTGAGACTTTAGATAAAATAATAAAATATTTTGAAATTAGTCTTTAGATGAATAATGTACAGTTGACTGTAGTTTGAAAAGTGTCGGAACATTGTAGGAAATCAGCAGCTGGAATCTGATGTTTTGATTCTATGGACGAAATTTTTTTATTTCAATCAAAATCAATCTTTAGTTACGATTATCCCGTAGTGTAAAACTTGAATTCAATTGAAATTTCAGTACATACTTCATATCCTCGTTTACTGAATGATATTAAGTTGAATTGAATTATCAGTCAGCTTCATTCCTTTCTGTATTTATTCTCCTTGTCTACAGAGACATACTCTAGTTCAATCAGAAGTCTATGTAAAATTGCGAACGAAATCAAAGTAGTGAAAAAGAAACATCTATCCTCAAGAATGAATGTATCCTTTTGAATTGACTTATACTCTCAGAGTTAGGTGCCAATTTGGAACTGTTACAGCTAATGCTAAACTAGAATGGATGAGAAAAATTGGTATCATTAATATACATTACTGTCATTTATCACAGAAGATACAGTGAGGTGATGCATTTACAAATCTATTCGCGAAGAAACTTGTATAAAATTAAATAATGCCATTTTAACGTTGATTATAAAGTTTGAAGTAAAACTTGAATTTCAACAAGTTTACCAAAGTTTTTTAAACCTACAATACAACTTCTAAATTAGAACGATCATTACAAAAAAAAATTGGTTATGCGTCATCCCGATCACAAATTTTGACCTGGCAACTCTGGTGTTGTGTATAGGGTGAGGACCAGGGGAAAAGGCGGATGTCTGTATATCTATGTATTTCTAGATGTTTCTAAGTATTTTAAGGTATTTCTGAAGTAGAGAAATATTGGAAATACTTGAAAGTACGACATTTCCAGTGTGGTTTAATTATAAGAGTGTCCATTCTCATATTTGATTATTATCAACGCATTCTTGCACGAAATAGTGTGTCTGAACAAGTAGTTGAATCTACTTGCTAGTTGCTTTTCTTTGAGACTCGACATATTTTGCCCGAGTTGATAATATAATCTTCTTTCCTTTCATGTTTACTTATTATGATAAGTAAATATAAAAACACACACAACTAGCATAAAATTCAAATGATACAAACAAGTAGAAAAACAAATATAACAAGATAAATGGATCAGTGACTAAATATGAATGCTGATAGTATGCATAATACAGAATATACAATTAAAAGAAGTTGATTATTGGTAGAGGTTTGAAAAAATGTTTTCAAAGAACAAGAACAATCGGTATGTAATTAGGGAGTAGACAATTTGCTTGCAGTTACTTTTCAGTTTTGAGTAATTTCAATAGAAATTTTGCACGCTTGATTAGATTGTTTTTTTTGGTAAGTTTTAGCTTTTGACTTGAGCTATAACTTTGTTCTCAACATCTCTTTTCGATTTGCTTGTGAAGCATAGTTATGGAGAATAAATGAAAAGGTTGCGTAGCTTTTTCATTTACATTTCATAGCTATGTTAAAGAGAAACGTCAGGAAGAGATGTTGAGAGCAACGTTAGAGCTCAAATGAAAAGCTACAAGTGAGCAAAATTTCTATGGAAATTACTCAAGATTGACAAGTAGCTTGAAGTAAATGTTCCATTCCTATAAATAATTGCTTGCAAAGACCTGCATTTTTTGATCGTTTTGATCGAGTTGATGAGTGAGGTTTGTTATTTTTTTCGTTGCTGCAGGCGCTACTTTTGTTGTTGCTATTGTGGTGGTTCAATTACTATTTATTGATGTTGTTGACCGTGAAACTAAAAGTGTGTTCAATCAAAACATTGATGTATTTGATGGTGTCATCGATGATGATGTTGATGCTGGAGCTGATTGTCCACTATCACAGTTTTATTTTTATGTGGTTTATTTTTTTCTCTAATAATTTTTATCATTAAATATTTGATTATTTGTAAAAGTTCATAAAAAATTAGATGGTACCTATCTTGTCTCTTTTAATTCCAATGCTGTTCTAAGACCAGATTTACAATTTATTAATCTTTCTGAATTGGTATTACCATGTGTAATTATCAATGTAACTTGTTCGTTTTCTTTCAGCTAAAGTTCTGTCAATCATAAATTCTCTTTATTGTTATGACACAATTCAGTGATTTTTATCTACAACGTATTCTCTTTGTTCATCCATTGACATTGTACCTGACTGCTTTACAGTTACCGTTGATGTTGGTGTGATTGTAGTTGTTGACGATGATGATAGAGATGAAAATAAATTATTCAGCATAAAATCGTATTTTTCCGGTATACGTCTATTTGCTTTAATCGATTCTGATTTCAAAGTTCTTATTTCAAAATTGACTTGGGCAATGATGATGTTAAAATACATGCACAAACAAACAGCACACACTAAAATAAAATGTGCCACAGTCTGTCTGCTGATTACTCATTCACCATTTTGTTTTTCGCATACAGCTTCACATAGTCCACTTAATTGAACATACTGAACTTATGTATTTTCAAGTTGAGATGAACTACACACACTTTGTATATTTACAATTGCTAGCAGAAACATGAATTACGTTGACTCCTGCTGCCAGAGATTATTAAAATGATGTATAGCTTATCTCAACTGTATTTTCGTATTTTTATTTCTAGATTAGCTACTTTTTTGCACGAATGAGTTGGAACAATAATCATACGAGTGAGAAATCTTGAAATTTGGCACAAAGGAGTCATATTGGAAATTTGTTATATCTAAATTTTTCTATGTATTTCTATGCATTGCCACGTATTTCTAGAGATATTTCTGAAGTACAGAAATACATAGCAATGTACTTTTCTCTTTGCCACATTGTCATAAAAAACTGGATAAAAAAAAGAGTTTAAAATAAATGTGATTTGAGTAGCGTAAATAAGCAAGAATAGGCTACAAACGACGTTTCATGACTAGCGCAAGTATACAAGTTAAAGTATATTCTATCTCTGTTTGAACGAATATGTTTTAGTTACACAGCCTCAAAAGAAAAATATTCTTGATCACGTTGGCTTTCGAAGACGCATTAATTTAATGAAGCACATTATTTTTGACAAAGAATAAGAGCTAAGAATACCGTCTAACTATGGAATAATGGAGGACTTAGTAAAAGTTATCAAAAAATCAATTATTGCAAGTGAAGTGAAAATTTTCGACCGTATTTGGATAAATGTAAATTTAAAAAGCATTTAAAAAATCGGAAAAAACAACAAACAGAGACTTGATCAGCTAAAATCAAACTAGAAAGGAATCTGATAGGAACTGAATAATATGTCTATTCAGAATCTTAAAACAAGTCTTTATGAAATCTAATAAAATTCTGCCAAAATTTTTTCGGTTGTTCTCATCAAAATCCTGAGTAGATTCGAGAGTAAATCCTGCATTCACAATTCAAAAAATAATCTGGTCAGAAGTTTAAAAAAACTCTCAAGAGAATCTAGTTTAATCGTGAGGAATTCTTCAAACGAGAATTATTATGATTCAGACAGGATCGTGAATTAAATTTGATCAAATCCTTGAGATACAGAGTGCTAAAATATCCTTTCCGACTTTCTTTAGGAATGATCAGAATTGAGACGTGGCACAGAACGTAGATGCATCTTTATGATAGGCATGATGAAGCCGCTAATATAGATAAAGCATTTTGCCATCAGTATTGAGTGAAATAATGTGCACTTGAGATTCGTATCCAAATATGAACCTTAGGTTTTAACGATTTTAGAAACAGCAACAAATGTATAGGTATTTCTTTCAAAAACAAAAGTGATTATAAATCAATACTTGAATCATACAAAAAAAGTTTTATTCGATGTTTTTCATGACGAGTGATGTATGCTAGTAAAAAGCAATAGGAATATATATTTGAGTTGTTGAACACTAGAGATTTTTATGCAAACATTTTGATACATGATCAAACGTTATATTTTTCAGAACTATTTACATATATATGCATAAAAACACAACAAGAAATTCGTATTTCTTGAAGTAGTGGTGACGGATTCTTGTTCTCCATGTAGGAAGTAAGACTCTTCATTTTGCTATCCTCAAATCTCTTTGTTCTAACGTTGAGTATACTTTAGAAAGATACTGAAGTGGTCATTGAGATCAAAAAAAGTTGCTGATTTTTTATTTATTCATTTCTCAAATTATACAACAAAGAAAATACACTGTACTTTATTTTTTTAATGAAAGTGTCATATATCAGTCAAAAAGAAATATTGAACTATACCCCGCATGTTTTTATTCTTCAAGACACCTACTTTTTTCGAGTATTGAAATGGATACTATTTATCCCAAGTCATTTGATATTTTTCTCTTTCTAAGACATATTTCCTCGCGTAACAAAATGAAGAAATCGGCGTAGTATTTCAACGTATCCGCTTCAATATCCAATATATTAACATTGAGATAACTCTATTTTGATGGAACAAACTAAAATACACTGTGCTGTTGTTAAGTGTTCTGCTATATTATTTGATAAGAATTCCGCAAATTCTGTAATTTCGAAAGTTTCTAAAAGAGTTGAAGCCCTTCAGATTACTTTCATTTGCTTTCTTTTGAAATATTTTGGTTGATCAAGATGCTCAATCAAGAGACAATGAACTTGTAAGAATTCTATTTCTATCATCGTAAAATTTCAACATGAATCATTCATTCTCTGGAAACTTCTCAAAACTATATTGCCGGCTCGAAGAACTACCGCTCTCAATCATAATTACTTAAAATAAAACAACTATTCTCAAAATGAAGCAACTTTCGACCTCTTCTATTAGCATTTCTAGTCACATACTACTAAAATTCAGAAAACTTTATTGTGAAATAAATTTATTTTTCTTGAAAAGTCCAACTTTCACAACGAGCAAAAAGTCAGCCTTTTTATCACACAATGGCCAAAACTATTTAGTCGCCACCGCCACCGCCACAACCACCGCCGCCGCCACAACCTCCACCACCGCCGCAACCTCCACCACCGCCGCAACCTCCACCACCGCCACAGCCACCTCCGCCGCAACCTCCACCTCCATCACCACCTCCGCAACCACCTCCGCAACCACCTCCGCAACTACCTCCACCATCACCTGATGAACCCATGATAGGTACAACTATGACTGCACACGAACTTATGTAATGCGAGTATCTTAACTTATCTGTGGGAACGTTGCTGCCATAATTTACGTTGTATGTCTGCTTCCATTGATCAGCTGTTTTCTGATAAGCATCTGCAAGTGTATTATTGTCAATAGAGTCATTATGATCAAGAAGGAAGCCACATAGTCTTATTGATGTTCTTTGATAAAATGATGGAAATCTCATATGTGTATGCCATATTAAATCAATATCAAATGTCGGTACGATAATTTCACCTTGTTTGGCTAATTTCAAAAATGAAATATAATTTTGTATCATTTGTTCGAACCACTCTCTAGTTAAATGATTCAAGTTTCTTGAAAATAAATCATGCCTCTTGAATTTTTCAAGAAAATCACGTTGACGAATTACGGCATTCGCCAAATCGAGTGAAGGAACAAAGTTTGTCAGATTCGGTTTTGTCTTGAAAACAGCAATTGAATGGTGCTTTTCATGCTCTTTCATTTTTACCCTTCTGTGCCTTTTATCGACAACATTACGGTCCGATAATTGCTGTGTACAGTCGTCATAATACGCAACTGGATGCAGACGATGAACATGCCAGATCCACTCGATTTGCCATGGAAGTTGTCGTTGTTGACGTCTAGTATTCATTTCTTGACGAGCCATGCGTTGACAATAATCTTCGATAAAATAATTCAATGTTTCTCCTGGTTCCGTCATTTCGGGATGTGCGGCCACTAAACGTAACAATACAATATGATCAACCAAAGCACGATACGAAAATTTAAATCTCTTTCCATCATGTGTAAGAATATGCGCACAATAGCGTGGTGTCGGAAGTGAGTGCGAGCTGCCCATTTGTAAACCTTGCTTTGCAAAACAAATTTTCCGATTTTTTCGATATAACTTTCGCGTACAAAAATAGCAGTTGTGTGTTCAAGTAGAGAAAAAATGACAAAGTTGAAAAGTCTTGTGTTTAACAGACCTATAATCAGATAATACTGTTTATTAAATCAAGCAATCAACACTGGTAACACAGACACTTGATTACAGAAATGGTTTGTCAGTTGAAAAAAATTAAAAAGATACACTGACTAGTTGTAAAGTCATACAATCATTAATTCTTGCTCATGTAGATTTTCATTCGAAAAATGTGTCACTTCCTAGTTACTTTACTTAGCCTTACAATTGATACTCATGAATATTCTACGTCTACGTCATATACGCTCGTGTGAATAAAAATATTTTTGACTATCGAAAGGACATGCATTCAGCCATGACTAAAAATATAGTGAGTCATGTCCATATATGAATAACCCTGACTGTAATTGCAAATGTGCATCACAAAAAAATAAATGAGCGAATCGCGGTGTATTTTTGCACAATATACGTCGTACCATCAATGTTTTAACTAAAAGTTTGAAAGAAAGTATTAATTCACGGCTCATCTCCACTTTTTTCATGCTTCATTCGAAAAAAAGGTACTTTTAAGATGTTGGACGTACCTTGGGTACTTTGTTTTTGTTCGAGATACTTACCAATAAAAGCACTGCGTGCCATTTTCATTTGTGACAAAACAGGGAAGAAAACCTGCTCGATGATTTTCTTCTCCAATAAATGCAATACAAGGAAAGATGCCGATGTTTATGACATAACGAATATGAAACTAAACAGCTTTCAGCAACAGTTAATTGTATTGCATAATATTTTAATTTATAAGAATTTCAATGAAATTAGAACTTTTTTCTCAATTATTGGGGTGTGGGTGTTGGTGGGTGAGACGTTGAAAAAAAAATACCCAAACCCACGTCCATACTCCATAACTTACAGCACATATCTTGTACACTTAACTGACGAATACATAAGTAAAAAAAAATGGTTTTACATTACATAGTGAACGTCTTATCATTATTATATTTATGGATCGTCCCTCGTAATCTACCAGTATACAACGGAATCAAGTGAAAATATACGACACAAAAAACTGAAATGAGAACGAATATTCGAATGAAAATTAGTCTCTAGATTTTGACGTTCTTCATTCATTACTATTCACTTGAATGACGCCTGTATTGATACAAATTAGGAAAACACATGTTTTAAATATCTCGAAAGTACGGTAATATGCTGTAGAACACTATCTGACAATATTATTATATAATATTCTTCTTAAGCTCTCATTAACATCTAATGCAAATATCTTACAGTTACACTGTTTATACTGATTCCTCGTTTTTGAGCGTAAATTTGTGCCGATGCCCCATGGCTTGCTGAGATGGAGGAAAGCAGAAAACGATTCGTGGGTAGTGAGGTATTTAGTATTTTGACAGGTCGAACTCTTCGATGAGTTACTCAAATGTTTGGACTCTGTAGAGTGAAGGAGCATGTGACAGACTTTATCTTACATGGTTTCAATCGTTCAGAAGGGTCAAAGCTTCGATGATGAGGCTTAACACCCTCTTAACCCTAGTTTATGCCACTATTCGTAAGTGTGGCCTTTCATTCACCAGAGTAGGCAATATTCAAGGTCAGAAACGAGTAATCTATTAGATTACTTCTCTCATAAGATAGAATAAAAGCTTATCTTTATTCAAATACGATTTCATAATGAAACTAAAAATCGACTTCGCAAACAAAAAAAATTGAAGAAAAATACAAATAATCTAGACAAAAAAAAACAAAGACTGTTTTATCTATAAAGCGTTTCTATGAATGTATATTTATGACAGCATTTAAAAAGACTACATACACGGATCTGTTACCACTTTCTCTCATAGATTAATTGAAATTAGAAGACAAGACTCTTCTTCTTTTATAATCAATTAGATAAATAAATGAGTTTTCATACAGTAGAAATAGTTTCAATGTGGATCATTACTTGCGATTTCAGCAGAAAAATCATCGATGAGTCGTAATCAATCAACAATTTCGTGACAACAAGAATGGTTTAGTAATGCATTTTGTTTGATACTTTTTTTCCAGATATTAAAGCAACCATTTCACAAGAAGAATTACTTCAAAACTATTTTTAGCATTAGATAGTTTCTTATATTCTGAAGATTTGTACTAACTATATATTAGTGGATTCATTAGAACCAATACAAAACATAGGAAAACAAGCCATTGTCTGTTATACAGGCGATTCATCTCGTCTTACTACAAAAGCTATTTAAAACTCTAGTACTTTCATTCATTTTTCTTATATAAGTTCACTGGTTTAAGCTGACCCATTATTTCTAGATAAGTTCAAAGAAAAAAAAAATGGGCACATCGATATCGCAAAGACTGACAGTAAATACCGGCTGATTGGCAAAAACGACCAATATAAAATCTGTCTCAATTCTATCTATGTTTTCTTCTACTCTTGAAAGAAAAGCCATTGATTTTTTATTATTTCTCTAGGATGACATTTGTACATTGTAATGATAAACATGAAGAAAAGACATACTTTTTAAAAGTAGTTCTTATTAGCTTTGACGTATCGTATTATAGTAAGTTTCCAGGATATGATCAATAAAATCATTCTATCGATAATTTTGCATTTTCAATAAACATGCAATAACAAGAAACCTATGAGAATAAATACTATGCATACAAATTTGTCTAATTTTTCTATGATTTAATAGCTCTACTGATGTACTTTCAAATGAAAAGATAACTAAAATGATAAGCTATTCAATAACTACTAATCGATAGAAAGTTTTCTAATTATCAAATTAATTGTTTGCGAAAGCTACAAAATATGTGACAGAAATAACAAAACATTAATTTCACAGATGAAACTCGAGTAGGACACTAGTTTTTCGCACCTAAAATTACTCGATATATGAACAGATAAAATATTTGAAGAAAATTGATCTTGTGCCTAGAAAAAAACTTGATATCTGTTTTGAAACCAAAGGTTACGATTATACTATTACATAGAAAAAATAATTTGTTTTGTTATTAAAATGTCCTTCTGAAATAAGTTTTACATAATTTTATTTTTGTGTTATTCGATATACATTTCATTATAACGAAACATCACAGACGTCATGAATCGTCAATTGAAAAATCTTTTTCAATACGAATTCTATTCATTATTGCTATTCCGATCGAAATTTTTTCTATTGTTTCTTTAACAGAGCCGATTTTGTGCTGCCGTACAGAAAATCGACAAAAAAAACAATTTTGAGATTGCAAAACAAGAGAAAAAAAGTTGTGAGTATTTTTCATAAATGCTTACTAGTGGCCGAACCAGGACGGGTGGGTATCAATGAAATCATCGAAGTCTGCGAGTGATAAATTTTTATATTGCTGAATTCGATATAGAGACTATAAATATTAAATAGAATAAAGTATAGTGAAAAAGAATTTTTTCGATGATTGACGGTGGATATAAAATTGATTTTGAGAAAAGCATGAAAATTTTGTTATCTGTATTTGATCGATTTATCATCAAACATCGAAATGAAATATGATGATATCATATGTTGACTACTAAAATTAATTAAGGTACACAGTGCTATAATTCTAGTAACATATTTAGCTAATAAAAAGTACTGATACTCATACCTTTTTTTTTGAGACTTCCTCTTAGAATCGCTGAATAATATGACTATAGAAAACTTAAGAAACTATTAGTACATCTCTGCTAAACATTTCAAAATTCAAACATGTTCTATGACTATTTATATTAAACACCTCTATTGACATGGCTGTATGTTTAACTCTAAAAAGCCTATTGGATTAAAATATACTTATTCAAGGAGAAGTTCCGATCTTAAGCAATATTTTGATGAGTCTCTGAAACTTAATCATAATGAAAAGTAGGCGAGAGTTTCATAATTAAAAGAAAAGAATCATTTAAAAGAAAAGCATTTTATTGAGATGATTAAATTGAAAAACAACAAAAGACAATACACAGAAGTAAGAACGGTACGTGCCTGTGATCTATCGAAATTGTATAGATTAGAAATAACTTAGAAGCGGCATATATTCTTTTAATCCTGCCTATTATTATAGTCTAGATTTTGTTAACACTAGGATAATAGATTGTTAGTAAATGAGACTTTGACCAGTTACAGTAGCTTCCATTAGATATGTTTTTTTAAAGTTAAAATTTGTCTTGAGTACAACTGAAAAAAGAAACTTTTATGATGCTGTAAACACTTTAGTCATCCTATCGATAAAAAATTAACTTTAAAACTTATTAGCAAAGCGAATATGAATGAAAGTTTAAATGTTAATGTAAAGCACATATTAATTATATCGAGATAAAAGTTAAGAATTATGATAACAAAAAATTTATTTTCTTATTTTGAATTTTTCGTCTTATATTTGAATCTATTAATTTTCGTATTGACCAGTTATCAGTGATCGCTTTTTTTCCGAGCATTTGTTGTTCAATATGTACTCCAATGTTAAACGAAGAGACATAGTTCTTTGTTCAACGCAGAATAATACAGTACAAGATCGCTTAATAACCTCGAGCTCTGTTTTATTGTATTCTTATACCATTTTTTTCGATGCGTAGTCAAATAAGTGATATAGACAAGAATACAAGCTTTTTATTAAGACTCAGGGAGGCTAGGCTGGAATGGTGAACTAAAAATTCTTCCCTTTTCGATCTCTGATCTTTATATTTATATTAATTTTTTTGAAAATATACTATACAATTTGTATATATTTTATTTCATTTGAAACTTTAAGATAATGTTCTATTCGTTTTTTAGATTTTTTGCCAAATATTACTGCGACGTTGAACTGAACGTTGAAATATATAAAGAGTTAATTCCTACTCATTAATCAACTCTATATTTGAATTACAATATCGTACGAAATGGTGATTATACACTTTCTTTCCACTACTCATTAGC